CTATTGTGCTTACTGTGCAGTATATTGTATTGACTTGTAAACCTAGACAATTTTCTAATACAATTGTTAATTGTATAACATTTGTTTGTTATTTGTTGCTTTCACACTTAAGTTCCAAATTTCTGGGCTAATATATTGTTTCAATTTGTAAGTCCAACACGTAACAATATAAGTTAATATGTCTGTTGTGTTGCCTCCTCGCACACGGTATTCAGTCGTCTGCAGATTGTACTAGTTCAAGCCTGTTATTCCGGGACAAGCCGAATAGCGACTCGTGCCCCTCTCGTGGCCGATCCGTGAAGATCCGGGGTAGAATAGGTCTTCAGCAACCTATGCTTGTCATAAAAGGCGACTATGCTTGTCGTAAAAGGCGACTAACGGGATCGGGTGGTCAGGCTCGCTGACTTGGTTGATGCATGTCATCGATCCCAATTGCGTGGATCGATGCACATGTTGTCAATCACTGGATGGTCTGGTCCAGACTCGATTATTTACAGACCGCCGTCATATAGCTGGAATATTGCTGAGTGCGGCGTTAAACAACAACCAGCCAACCCTCTCGTGGCTATTTTTGCAACTGGGTTCCGTCTAAGCGCAAACGGGCATTGTTAAAAGAATTGTCAATGCGTTGCGTAATGATTCACGTATATTTCCCCCATGTCATATGCTATCTAAAACACACCGGGACTTACATTTAACTGTGTCAAGGGTATATTTAGAGATGCAAGACATGTAAAATCAAAAATTATTCCTGATGGATTCTTTGACCGAAGTACTTTAAGTCATACGCGCATTCTGATTGGTTGTCGTATTTTCGCACGAAACATTCACCGATAGGGAAACGCGTCTTCTTGCAGGTTACGGAAAGGGGCGAGTGGTGACGAATGTGGTCTTAGCGTGGTGACTATAGATATAGTACACCTCTGTTTTCTGTTGTTCAGGACATTTTAGAAGAAAATGAAAACAAATGTCATCTACAGTTTACAGAGAAACCAATATTTGAAATAGAGGACTTCCTCGTGGATAGCATCAATGTGAGATCTGGGATAGGCCATTCAGGCCAGAAGTAGGCATCCCTATGGGGTCTCGATGATCTGTTTCATATTGTACAGGAGTCGGAAATTCTGCTCAGATTGGCAAAATCAAAGACGTATATACTTCTTTGGCAAAATCAAAACAAGAGAATTTGGCCAAGGGAATAATGGTCAAATAGCCAATTCCCTTCTGTTGATTTGGGGGCGGTCGGGTAGCCTAGTGGTTAAAGCGTTCGCTCGTCACGCCGAAGATCCGGGTTCGATCCCCGACATGGGTACAATGTGTGAAGCCCATTTCTGGTGTCCCCCGCCGTGATATTGCTAGAATATTGCTAAAAGCGGCGTAAAACCATACTCATTCATACCATTGATTTGCCCACCTAAACTAGAAATACAAGATACCAGTGAAACCACCTTATCTGTTTCATATTTAGATCTATACATGACGATTCATATTGACAAAAGAACTCTCCACAAGACTGTGTGACAATGGGGATGACTTCAACTTTCCAGTAGCCAATGTTCCCTTTACGTCGAGGAATATCCTCGTAGCTCCAGCTTTTTTAGTTTAGATTGCACAACTTTTGAGGTACAATCGAGCAAGCTCTTTCTACCAAGAATTCAAAGAACGTCACTTGACTCTCGGTGGTGACTCCCCTGTGTGTCCGGCTCTAATGCCTTCAAAGCGGCAGTTCGTTAACGCATCGACCCCCCCCCCCCCCCCAGCGTGCAGGGGTTATGCTAACAAGCGTGAAATTTAAATCTGCGCGTATACGACAGCTTTCATGTGTACTTTTTACACCACTTATTCGTTTCGAAATGTTGTATCATTATTGCATTGTTTGAATATTTATAAGAGTGGGAGTTACTTTGAACGCTTAAGCAACAACACACGTTGTTGTTTGAACGAAAGCGACAATCAATTATCAGACGGAGAGACAGACTTGGTTTTCCTAATGTTAGGCCATATATATGTGTACTTTTATTTGAGGAAGAATCTAGCATGGGTGGGAGCATAAGTAGACGACATAGACAGAGGGCACAGGGCGAGGACACAGGGCATAGACAGAGGGCATAGACAGATTGCACAGGGCGAGGACACGAGGGCATAGACAGAGGGCACAGGGTGAGGACACGAGGGCATAGACAGAGGGCACAGGGTGAGGACACGAGGGCATAGACAGAGGGCACAGGGTGAGGACACGAGGGCATAGACAGAGGGCACAGGGCGAGGACACGAGGGCATAGGCAGATGGCACAGGGTGAGGACACGAGGGCATAGACAGAGGGCACAGGGCGAGGACACGAGGGCATAGACAGAGGGCACAGGGTGAGGACACGAGGGCATAGACAGAGGGCACAGGGTGAGGACACGAGGGCATAGACAGAGGGCACAGGGTGAGGACACGAGGGCAAAGACAGAGGGCACAGGGTGAGGACACGAGGGCATAGACAGAGGGCACAGGGCGAGGACACGAGGGCATAGACAGAGGGCACAGGGTGAGGACACGAGGGCATAGACAGAGGGCACAGGGTGAGGACACGAGGGCATAGACAGAGGGCACAGGGTGAGGACACGAGGGCATAGACAGAGGGCACAGGGTGAGAACACGAGGGCATAGCAAGAGGGCACAGGGCGAGGACACGAGGGCATAGACAAAGGGCACAGGGTGAGGACACGAGGGCATAGACAGAGGGCACAGGGCGGGTTCACGAGGGCATAGACAGAGGGCACAGGGTGAGGACACGAGGGCATAGACAGAGGGCACAGGGTGAGGACACGAGGGCATAGACAGAGGGCACAGGGCGGGGACACGAGGGCATAGACAGAGGGCACAGGGTGAGGACACGAGGGCACAGGGCGAGGACACGAGGGCATAGACAGAGGGAATAGACAGAGGGCACAGGGTGAGGACACGAGGGCATAGACAGAGGGCACGGGGTGAGGACACGAGGGCATAGACAGAGGGCACAGGGCGAGGACACGAGGGCATAGCAAGAGGGCACAGGGCGAGGACATGAGGGCATAGACAGAGGGCACAGGGCGAGGACACGAGGGCATAGACAGAGGGCATGGACAGAGCACACAGGGTGCACACGAGGGCATAGGAGAAGACAAAAAGATAAGATATCGTGTGTCTGTATCTGTGCGTGTGTGTCTGTGTGTGTGTGTCTGTGTGTGTGACGACCCGAACCATTAAGTGGCCCCTTACGACTAGAATATTTTGATGGGGACCAATTTTGACCCGGAATATCCCAACGGTTCCCATTTTAGACGCCACATACGAGCAGCAGTGGGAAGCTTGGGACACATTCTACCCCGTGTCCACTGGATGATGCGACATACGAAGAGCAGTGAAGTACTGGTGTACATACTCGTATATTGACTGTAGTCCAAATAGATTACCTTTTGAATGTTCTAGTATGTTGTTATCGTAAGCAAACTGGATTATACGGGTAAAGAAAATACTATTTCGATTTGAATGTGTTTGGATGGCACCGAAGGACATGCGACGATGACTTCGACAGGGGATTTGAGGACATACGACGAGGATTTCAAGAGTGGACTTGGGATTTACGACGAGGACAATCAGGGGAATTTGAGGACATTCGACGATGACTTCGAGAGGGATTTGAGGACATTTGACGAGGACTTTCAGAGGGGATTTGAGGACATACGATGAGGACTTTCAGAGAGAATTTGAGGACATACGATGAGGACTTTCAGATGGGATTTGAGGACATACGATGAGGACTTTCAGAGGGAAGCTGAGGACATATGACGAGGACTTTCAGAGGGAATTTGAGGACATACAATGAGGACTTTGAGCTAGGATCAGGAACATGGGGACAGGACGATGCGGATGTGGCACTTGGGAATACGCCACTGGGTGTCCGAAGATATTTACTTGGCGTTAAAACATACATCCGATATGGCCAAGCTGATAACATAACATAGCACACAGTCTGCACTGATGGATGTGTCTGAGTGTGAGAGGAGGACACTCCCTCGGAGCAAGAAGTGTAGGATGGTGTACAACGCGGGATGTGTACGGAAACGCACGAGGACACCCGAGTGTGTGAAACAGGAAGTGCTGTTGACGCGGTCGTGGTGCTCCATCTGTGGACACATCACATCCGATCGACCTGTTTACTATCGGTCTCATGCAGCCTTGGAAAGTACGCTTTCAATATCTTAATAATGGCGTGGCGTACCAGATACGGGTGTGGTTTTAATGCCAGGCGTTACTCTAATGCGAAGGCTGTACTATTATCAATCAAACGACAGGTGTGTGTTTTCGTAGTCGATAAAAGTACATTAATGTTGATTTTGTAGATATATGGTCATTGAAAGAACCTTTAAAAAAAATGAGATGCCATTATCGTGCTATGGGTGACTCGAACAAAGCTTTCAGTTCATAAAAACGTTTTGCGGTTCGTTGAAAAAATATCTTTGTCCTCTTACTTTAAAACAGATTCAGTGACGTTCGTTAAAAAAATAAAGTGTTTGGTACTCGTTAACATTCTGTGGAAAAGAGTTTGTAAACTTTTGGTTAGTTTATCGAATAGATTAAAATTCAATCAGCGTAAAAAGCAGTTATATGCGAAATGTCCGTCCTTATCGCAGATGTTTAATTTAAGAATATAGTCACGTGGTTAAACTATGTGGGTGGTTAAGTAGTCTAGCGGTTAAAGCGTTTGCTCGTCACACCGTAAAGCAAGGTTCGTTTTCCATGGCTTGAACCTGGTAAAATGCGGCATCACTCACTCACTTACTCACTCACTCACGCAAACTCAATCACTCACTCACTCACTCACTCACCCACCAACCGTCCCAGCCACTCACTCACTCACTCACCCAAACTGACTGACTGACTGACTCACTCACTCACTCACCCGCCCAAACTCACTCACTCACTCACCCAGTCACTCACTCACTCGCGCATCGTTGTAGTGCTGACGTACCTCCATGTCTTCAGTATAAGGGCTCCGTACATGATGCTGAAGCCACAGTGGAATGGCCAGATCTCTAAAGTACAGCTGACATCACTCGGCTCCCCGTACAGCACAAAACCCTGGAACATCACCAGAAAAAGTCATGTTACAGAACACTAGACAAATACACGCCATGATCAATATCTGTGCATTCTTTCATTGACGTCGTGGCATCTGATAACTTGATGTGGTATATACAACTGTACGTCAAAGTGCAAAACAAATACACGTTCTACACGTTGGCAATAATATTGTATAATGACTGTATCATGGGCCGGAGGCCAAATACTGAAATAACGACGAGGACTTCGAGAGGGGATTTAGGATATACGACGAGGACTTCGAGAGGGGATTTGGGATATACGACGAGAACTTCGAGAGGGAATTTGAGAACATACGACGAGGACTTCGAGAAGGGATTTCATATATACGACGAGGACTTCGAGAGAGGAATTTTAGGATATACGACGAGGACTTCGAGAGAGGATTTGGGATATACGGCGAGGACTTCGAGAGAGGATTTAGGATATACGACGAGGACTTCGAGAGAGGATTTTTGGGATATACGACGAGGACTTCGAGAGGGGATTACATATATACGACGAGGACTTCGAGAGATGATTTTTGGGATATACGACGAGGACTTTGAGAGAGGATTTGGGATATACGACGAGGACTTCGAGAGAGGATTTTTGGGATATACGACGAGGACTTCGAGAGGGGATTACATATATACGACGAGGACTTCGAGAGATGATTTTTGGGATATACGACGAGGACTTTGAGAGAGGATTTGGGATATACGACGAGGACTTCGAGAGGGGATTTCACATATACGACGAGGACTTCGAGAGGGGATTTGTTTTATACGACGAGGACTTCGATATTGCTGACATGAATTTGCATGTGACATGTGCAACCGGTGGAGCAGGATACGCTGACCTTTTTGCGAACACCTGGTATCATTACTATTTGATAGTGATTCATAAGCACATGCTCGTGATATAGTCGGAATCGTACAATCGACTCTTTTGATTATGGGAATGGATTTGTAGCTTGTTCTGTTTGTATTTTTCTTCACAACAGAGTGCATTCCTAATTTACATTCCTAATTAACCCGGCTGTTATTTTTAAAAAGACGGACGCATTTCTATACTTTTTGCAACACTTAGATTGAAATATACTTTCTGTTTCTCGTGTTAAATCTTCCCCTAAAGTTTAAGCATTCTTAAGAAAAGACTTATCCCCAAGACATATATCGTTTTCGTCAACATATACCAACTTCCGTCGCTATATGGCTGAAAAAATGCTCTTGCGACATTAAATTTATACTCATTTTGCACATGCCACGCCATCTCTCTTACTTCGAACCGTAAGGGCGTGACTAAAAGAGGTCACGTGGTACATTAGAAACAACGTTACCGTTTAAATTTGTAACCTAAAATAGAATAAACAAATAGAATCCTCCATGCCCAGTAGTCATTTTGGGAAAAAAGTCATCAGAAGAAATAATACGTATATAACTAGCAAAGTGACATCGTGTTATATTTTCAGTGATCACCGCTCCATTTCGGAATACATCGAGTAGACCCCATGGGGGATGTCAACAAATGATACAAATAGCTAAATTTATTTATTTAATTATTTATTTTCCATTACATACCACAGTGTAATTAACTCATGTTTGTGTTAAGTACAAAAAGGCCTACTGGCTTGGCTGTGACTAATTGACGTGCCCGGTAAGTTCGAATAAAAGCATTCGTAGTCCACTCTATATTTTAGCAAAATCTGATAAATGATCTGTATTAATTTATTAGTGATAACTGACCTTGTTTACAATGTGGTGGCTTAGTGTGATGGACGCCCCTATTCCACCTCGATTGGAAATGTTGATCATACATGTAGTCCCTGAGCAATCTACTAAACGACTGTTCGGTGTTGATGGAGAAACCCATCAAGGTATCCGAACATCAATGGAGGCAGGTAATACACAGATAGGGTCATACACAGAGGATATCATATGAGTGTTCTTGTCATATTATGTTTACGACACGAGTGTCTAACGTCCGGAATTTCCCGAGCGAGATACCGGACTTTGGGCACAACTCTCGAATACGTAGTACAGTAAACTACGGTTATAACGAACTCACAGGGACCACTGATTGTAGTTCGATATAACCGTAGTTCGTTATAAGCATATATACAGCACATATAAAGTAAATGGCCGGGACCAAAAATATGTTCGTTATATCCGTCAGTTCGTTATAAGCGTGTTCGTTATAAACGTCGTTTACTGTATACTTGAAAACGAATATACTGTTCTATTTTTTACCGATGAAGATGTCTACATCAGCAGAGTCGCAACAGCAGCGGAACCACAATTTGTCGAATGACGTCAACAGTCCTCAGCTATGACGTCGTTTCTAGTGTGACGTCATTCCCACCTCACGTTGCAATAAGATTCGAATGACGTCAACAATGCCGTCCGGATGACGGAAACAATACACTGTTGTCTCGTGACGTGATATGACTCTAGGGCGAATATGATTTTTATGAACCCCGATTTGTTTGCCCTCGAAGGTAATAATTGCTATATCGGGTCCGCTGCTGTCGCTCTCGCTCGGGTAATATCGGAATTTAGAGAATCGTGTTGTAAACATAGCATGACATGAACACTCTATGATGGTGCGTCATCGCTCACAACAAGATGAGAAACAATGACGAGGTTGGTCGAAATGCTTATACTTACAGGACGACACCATGCTCCGAGGGTGAAATGTGATTATACTTACATGACAACACCATGCTCGGAGGGTGAAATGTGATTATACTTACATGACAACACAATGGGCCGAGGATGAAATGTGATTATACTTACATGACAACACCATGCTCCGAGGGTGAAATGTGATTAAACTTACATGATGACACCATGCTCTGAGGGTGAAATGTGATTATACTTCCATGACGACACCATGCTCCGAGGATGAAATGTGATTATACTAACATGACGACACCATGCTCCGAGGGTGAAATGTGATTATACTTACATGACAACACCATGCTCCGAGGGTGAAATGTGATTATACTAACATGACAACACCATGCTCCGAGGGTGAAATGTGATTATACTTACATGACAACACCATGCTCCGAGGGTGAAATGTGATTATACTTACATGACAACACATAATGTCAACTCCGAGGGATAAATATGATTATACTTACATGACAACACCATGCTCCGAGGGTGAAATGTGATTATACTTACATGACAACACCATGCTCCGAGGGTGAAATGTGATTATACTTACATGACAACACCATGCTCCGAGGATGAAATGTGATTATACTAACATGACGACACCATGCTCCGAGGGTGAAATGTGATAATACTTACATGACGATACCATACTCCGAGGGTGAAATGTGATAATACTTACATGACAACACCATGCTCCGAGGGTGAAATGTGATTATACTTACATGACAACACCATGCTCCGAGGGTGAAATGTGATTATACTTACATGACAACACCATGCTCCGAGGATGAAATGTGATTATACTAACATGACGACACCATGCTCCGAGGGTGAAATGTGATAATACTTACATGACGATACCATACTCCGAGGGTGAAATGTGATAATACTTACATGACAACACCATGCTCCAAGGGGAAATGTGATTATACTTAAATGACAACACCATGCTCCAAGGGGAAATATGATTATACTTACATGACAACACCATGCTCCGAGGGTGAAATGTGATAATACTTACATGACGACACATTATGACAGCTCCGAGGGTGAAATGTGATTATACTTACATGACAACAGATTACGTCATCTTTAATAGATGTGATTATACTTACATGACAACACATTATGACAGCTCCGAGGCACATGAGGTGAAGAAACAAAGGACTGGCAGTTTTGATAACCTGTAAAAAAAAGTAATTATAATAGAAGGTTTGGAATTGTGCGACCATTATAAGTGCACGTGGTGGTGGTTGTATTCCACTGTATTCCATTGTATTCAAACTATATCTAATAAAGCCGGTTTTATAGTGTTTGCCCACAGAGATGCCATGCCCTAATTTAACATGGATACTGACTCCGAACAGTCCTTTTATCCCATTAATGGCGAGCGCCGCGCCATACCAAATTACCCCAATTTAATATGGATACTGACTCCGAGCTGATCAATCTTTTTATGCCCTTTATACCGGGCGTCAGGCAGGGTAACAACATGTACCATATGTAACGTCTTTCAGTATGACGCAGCCGACAAACCAACAGCCGCAACATACCAGCCTACTGTACACACTGTCGGTGTTTCTTAACAAGTGACCGCCTCCGTGGTCTAGTGGTGGAGCGTCCGCCCGGAAAGCGTAAGGTCTGGGGTTCGATTCCTGGACGCGTCATACCAAACGAGTTAAACGATGGTATTTGTTGTTACCCTGTCTGGCGCTCGGCATTAAGGGGATAAAACAAGGACTGGTTGGCTCGGAGTCAGTATACTGTGTCTGAGTGGGGTATTCATGTTAAACTGCGGCATGGTATCTCAGTGTGCTAGCACTAAAAATCAGCATCAGTCCGGACTAGTACAAGCAGCCACACACATGCTCGTTGCTATGTAAGTGCAATAATCTTGAACGCGACGTTAAACCCTTTTTCACCTCCCTTTCTAAACAAGTGCATCTCTTGGTCATGTTACGGTGTGTATAAGAGAACGACATTTCATTCAACTTCGCGTTTCTAATCTATGACCACAGGCTAAAGCAATGTGTAGGTAATAATTTCATAAAGATTCCCTAGTGTACATGGAATTGTTAGGTCGCAAATATTCTAGTCGAATTAGAAAAGTGTATGTCGATATTGTATTGTGTTGTGATGTGCTCAATTAATTTTGATGATCTGAAACTTTAGTAGACAACAGGTTGACTTTAAAATTAACAACATTCTAAGACTAATTCACGCTCCGGGATTATGAGATAATTGAGAAATAGCACCCTCGTATTTTGATATCAAATATAACAACACTCGATTATTAATGTAGAAAAACACTTTTAGTAAGCCCGCGCTAATTAGTGAGGTGAGGTGAGGTGAGGTGAGGTGAGGTGAAATTGGGTTTAACGTCGCGTCCAAGATTATTGCACTTATATAGCGACGTGCATGCACGTGTGTGTGTTTGTGTGGAAGCCTGTACTAGTCCGGACTGATGCCGATTTATAGTGCTAGCTCATTGAGATACCATGTCGCAGTTTAACATGAAAACCCAACTCAGACACAGTTTACTGACTCCGAGCCGACCAGTCCTTGTTTTAGCAACTTAATGCCGAGCGCCAGACAGGGTAACAACAAGTACCATCTTTTAACGTCTTTTGATATGACGCGGCCGGGGATCGAACCCCGGACCTTCCGCTCTCCGGGCGGACGCTCTACCACAAGACCACGGAGGCAGCTCCGCGCTATTTAGTAACGACCCGTGCTGATATTTGATATGAAGAACACTTTGGTTAGATTCTCTTTGTATGTCATAAGTGACGATGTAGGCTTAGTGATAGAGGGTATTCTGTGACACAAAGGTCGTGTCTTGGAACAAGATGCCGCCGTACATGAATTCAAAGGAGAATTCGAACACTAGGAAGCGTCAAGGTGCTCATAAATAAGACCCCATGGCGATAGTCATCCGCTCATCGCGGTCAAACTTGTTAGCACTTCTGGTCAGGGACTGCATTTCCGACGCTTGGTATTAAAGGCTTCCGATACAGGAAACGAGAAGAAAGGTTCCTAATCTCAAAATCTGAGATCCCGTGACAATGAACTACGATGTTTAGTGAGATATGATTTATTTATTTCCCGTTGTACATGGACAGACTGACCTTTTATTTGAATCATATACCGACAAAGACGGATGTTACCGAAATGGTACAATGGACTTGGTGTCAACCGAGGTTTAGATTGTATAGAGAAAGGGTTTTGTCGCTTTTATTGACATGAATGGATGCATCAGCTGTTTAGGATGCATTATATGAAATGTAAACCATTCGGACCACGAGTTTGTATCGCAGAGAGTAGCAACAAGCTATATATATATATATCTACCGGGTTGACCCGTGAAGATCCGGATTCCAATAGGTCTTCAGCAATCCATGCTTGCTGTAAAGTGGGTGAGTGAGGTTTTACGCCGCTTTTGGCAATATTCCAGCAATATCACGGCGGGGGACACTAGAAATGGGCTTCACACATTGTATCCATGTCGGGAGTCGAACCCGGGTCTTCGGCGTGACGAGCGAACGCTTTAACCACTAGGCTACCCGACCGCCCCGTAAAAAGAGACTGTGGTTGTCGTAAGAGGCGCCTACGGGATCGGGTGGTCAGGTGACTTGGTTGATGCATGTCATCTATCCAAATTGCGTGGATCGATGCTCATGGTATCAACCACTTGATTGTCTGGTCCAGACTCGATTATTTACAGACCGCCGTCAGATAGCTTGAATATTGCTGAGTGCGGCGTTCAACAAACAAACAAACAGACAAACTACCGGGTTGGGGTCAGGTGGGCTAGCCGAATTTCACTGCCTGCCGTTGAATGGTTGCCGATGAAAATACTATGATGGTGTTATCTGTATGGCTGTAACGCAATATTTGGAAAACTTTGGAATAGGTAAATCAGTTCTGATATTTCCAAAGTTTTCCTGATCATGTTTTTCCCCGTGCACAGTTGGCCCAGCCGGGTGAAGCACTGCATCTCGTTGTGCAGAGTTGCGTCCCTTAGTCGTGCCAGGAACATGTGATCGTCCGTTCGAATCTCTGACTATGTTTCAAGGTTTATCAGCACCACATCCGTGCTCGAGGGTTTCACCGAAGTGGTAACATATACAACTGGCGACAAATATATTTTTCGCGAACACCTGGTGTCATCACTATTTCATAGTGATTCAGAAACCTATGATTGTGGGTTCGAATCCCGGTTCGCCCCGATTATGTTTCTAGGTTTGTCAGCACCATACTCGTGCTCGTGGGTTTCACCGAAGTGGTAAACGTCTGAGACCTGCATCACTTCGGGCTTTCCTCCCACATTAAGCTGACACGCCGTGATATAACTGGAATACTGTTAAAAGCGGCGTTAAACCAAACTCACTCACTCACTCACTCACTCATAGTGATTCACGTGCATATGTTTTGGTGGGAATAATACAATTTTTTAAGATTATGAAACGTTTTTTGTCGATCCTACTAATATCTCTGAGATCTGCATTACTTCGGGCTTTTCTACGACATTAAGCAATCGCGCCGTCATATAACACCTACGCACTCATACACTCACAAAGGTTTAATGGTATGGCGTTTCAAATATTCTACTGACAAAAAGAAAACTTCAAGCGAACGAAGTCAGGCACTGTCAAAATCGGCTCTATTGTATACAGACAAACGACAGCTCCGCGTGGCAGCAACGAGCCGGTGCCAACGAGCCTGTAACTGGAGATAAGGATAAAAAGAGTACCTCGTTGCCATCCCCAAAGCCTCGTGAATTACACTTAGCAGAGACTGATAACCAGATTATGTCATGGTTGAATTGCAGCTACATAGAAAATGTGGTTTCTGTAAATGTGCATGGCTTGCTGATCAATATTGCCTTGCTGCCGCACATACACCGCACGTTGCCATTAGTAACAGTCAACAGAGTTCATCTGATTGAATACAGACGAAATACGCTACATCGAACCCCTAAATAACGGCGTTATATACGGCTTCCAAATCCGAGTGTTGGGAGACTACTTCCAAACCGACGCATCGAGTTTCATCACATGAATAACGAAACAATCCAGATATGAGAACATGTCATATTAATGACGAGAGTAGTTTTATATTACATTCACATTAAACTTGGTATTTTAATCGGAGAGCTTTTTAACAACACCCGAATTGCGTAGATAGGTGCTTATGATATCAATCACTTGATTATCTGGCCCAGTCTCGATTATTTACAGACCGCCGTCATATAGATGGAATATTGCGGCGTTAAACAACAAAGAAATGAAACGAAATGATAGATAATACTATGTTCATTGTTATACATTGTTATACATTGTTATATTACAGGGTTAATGTAGCGTACAAAATGTTTGAATTATATTACGTTGTATCTGTCATGTATTACCATCTAATGTAAGCAGCGATGTTGAAGTTACTCTGTTTTGATGCTTTTGGAGTCATAATCTGGAATCTTCTAGAAGTGTCGTTCTCATTTCACAATACATCAACACCAGCGGACGTGTGAAGATCATATTTTCACCCTGGATACCCAGCCTTGGCCTATATGGAAGCTTGGCCACTGTCGAGGCTAGGTGAATATTATCCCTGATTTTGTGTTATTGGCACTGTGATTGTATTTCATACTGCCATTGTAATTGTACTTCCACCCTGTTGTGTACTGCCATTTCAATTGCTTTGCAGTGATCTCAGTGTATTGATTTGTAAACCTAGTTAATTTAATAATACACTTGTTAATTGTATAACATTTCTTTGATATTTGTTAGTTTCACACTGAATTCTTTTACGTAGTTTCTGGGTTAACTTATTGGTTTAATTTGGAAGTCGACACGTAACAGTGAGTGAGTTGTGTTTAACGCCGCTTTTAACAGTATTCCAGTTATATCACGGCGTGTCAACTTAATGTGGGAGGAAAGCCCGATGTGATGCAGGTCTCAGATGTTTACCACTTCGGTGAAACCCACGAGCACGGGTATGGTGCTGACAAACCTAGAAACATAGTCGGGGCGAACCGGGATTCGAACCTACAATCATAGGTTTCAGGTGTGCCAAAGGGACGCAACTCTGCACAGCGAATCGCGGCGCCTTAGACGACTGGGCCACCCGTGCCCCCTCGACACGTAACAACATCATAAACTTGTTCGCCGCCAAACAAGGAGGCTTTTGAAGCCTACCGAACCCACCTCTTCCGACAAGTATAAATGATCGAGTCTGCACCAGACAATCCAGTGACTGACATCATAAGCATCGATCCACGCAATTGGAATACGATGACATGCATCAGCCAAGTCAGCGAGCCTGACCACCCGATCCCGTTAGTCGCCTCTTACGACAAGCCTAGTCGCCTTTTTACGGCAAACATTGGTTGCTGAAGATCTATTCTACCCCGGATCTTCACGGGTCTCAATAGGATAGAGCGTCTACTCCGAGGGCGGGAGAGTTGTGCTTCTATTCCCGACCGCGTCATACCAAAAGATGTGAAGAGGTGAAAGTTGTCACACTTTTTGCCAACGGCATTGAGGAGATAAACCAAGGAATTTTCGACTCGGAGTCGCTATTTAAGTGCAATAATCTTGAACGCGACGTTGAACTTCACTTCCCCACATTGATCCACTTTGGGTCATACTTGCGACACGGTTTCATTTCGGACTGTCTACCGTGACAGAACATCCTGAAAGACTTATCTCCCTAGAGTAAACAAAAGCGACAAACCCTTTCCATATTTCCAATCGGAATCTGACCGTGGTCTGGTGGTAGAGCGTCCGCCGGAAGAGCGGAAGGTCCGGGGTTCGATCCCCGACAGCGTCATACCAAAAGACATTAAAAGATGGTACTTGTTGTTACCCTGTCTGGCGCTCGGCATTAAGGGGATAAAACAAGGACTGGTCGGCACGGAGTCAGTATACTGTGTCTGAGTGGGGTATTCATGTTAAACTGCGGCATGGTATCTCAGTGAGCTATCACTATAAATCGGCATCAGTCCGGACTAGTACAAGCAGCCACACAAACACACACACACACACGTACATGCACGTCGCTATATAAGTGCAATAATCTTGGACGCGACGTTAAACCCCATTTCACCTCACCACCAATCGAAATCTCTGTTAAAAGCAGTGTCGATTGTACGATTCCGACTATATCATGTGCATGTGTCTATGAATCACTATCAAAAAGTGATGATACATGTGTTCGCGAAAAGATGAGCTCATCCAGCTCCACCAGTGGCACCCGTCACAAACACATGCAAAGGCAAGTCAATCGTTCCCCTGAAAAAACATGGGAACATGGTCCAAGTCAAAAAAGGGAATTGCATCGGACATAATTTTTGTCACTGATGCGTTAAATTTTGAAATATCCTCCACATGTCTACCATAATACGTTTTGAAAGCTTCACTGACGCCTTGAATGTTGAATGCAAGACAATTAAGGGGATTACTCACCATTTCATTCCTATTCTTGTGAATAAATATAGCGACGACAGCACATCCAGCGACGATGAAGGCAATGATGAGCAGGACGACCACCCTGAGAGCCACGTTGTAGGGATAGAGGCAGGGGGTTGCGTCCACGCACGTGTCACATCCCCGGGGGCACAGAAGGCACTGGAAACGAGGGGCGATGTTGGATTCGTTGTTGAGGTCAATGAATGTTTCAATGTCATAGCCACTGTAGGCACGTGTCGTCGCCGAGGTGTTTGGAAAATAGTATCCATCTTCACAAGCGCATTCATAGGCTCCTCGTTGGAACCCTTCTCCAATCAGAGGCTCGCACTGACGAATTGAAAAGAAACAGTTTTCGACAAAAGCAAAACAAACATTTAAAAAATGATCACAAAATAGAGTAAAATTAAATGTTAATGACCCGGATGTTCTTAAGGGTCAGCACATCTAACGTCTCCCCGAACGCCATAGACATATGATGACGCTGCGCAGTAGCTCTCTTCTATATGTAACAAATGTTATATTTGGGATAATATGTTCTTTGAAAAGTACAGATTCTCTTGTGCTTGCGATTGGGTGCCTCACTTTGGCAGTGTTGGTTCGAATCCCGGATGCGACTCAGCCCCCAAAATCAGTACTTTACAAAGAAAGTGTTATCCCAAATATAACATTTGTTACATTTGACCACTTTCTTAATGACATTGTGTGTTCATAGCTTTCTTCTAACTGTTTCTATATACACATTTCCATTACAAAGATATTCATGCTACTAGTATACCATGATTCGACATCAAATTGGTCCGACTTAGAGAGCAATGTCGTAAATGTAGTACCAACGTGGACACGAATATGGCATTATGTTACAGTCAATCTCGGATACTTGTATTCTTAAAGATGGTTAATTATAAAGCTTAGAATAAATTCAAGAGAGTACACAAGAGAGTGAATGTTGTTTATCGCCGCTATCAACGATATTCAAGCTACACCATCACGACCTGTGAATACCCTGAGGTTGGTGAACCAGAAACTGAAGGCAGGAGAAACGACAGAGTCTCTCCATTTTATTCGCCGTAGGTACAACTTACGAAATCGTTACGTATGATCAGTTCTACTCCGATTGAGAGAGAAGACTAAATTTTTTGGATCAGAAAAAGACAGTGATTGATATTGATATTCTATAAACGTCGATGACACTCAATCAACCAAATCGCAGAGCTTGACCACCCGGTCCATTTTGTCGCCTCGTACGACAGGCATTGGTGCTGGCAATCTCATTAAAATCAGATCTTAGTTGTCGCTACCGCTAAACAAAGATCTGAGGACATCCCATTTGTGGTCACGTCAGAACGACCTTTCATCCGACCAATCAGAGCGTCGCTTACCAGATCATGAAAGTGACAGTCGGAATGTGATTTCTCATCATGCAGCCTCGAAAACTTTATAACGGAGTATTCCGAACGATAGTTACGGGCTTAACGACTGAATCTATACAATCTAGACCATATATTAGCCATTCTAGAACGTTCTTTTGTTCAGGTTTCAAATTTTTAAGCGAGAATTTGTCAAAATATGTTTCGAAGCGTAGTCGCCAATTTGAAATTAGTGCCGTAAAGCACGAGAAAGCTGCCTTCTGATTGGCTGATGTCGACTTCTTGTCAGTAATTCCATTTGTCGGTCAGAGTTTGCGAAAGGTCGGTCTGACGTGACCCGTAATGGGACGTCCTCAGATCTTTGTTTCGCGGCACGAGAACTAAGATCTGGCTTTAATGAGATTGTGGTGCTGGGAACATTCTAACCGAGACTCCATGTCTGTACCTGTGTGGTAGGTTGGCAGTTGTGGGTTCCACGGAACACGTCCAGGGCTCCCGTCCTGTCATTAGCATGAACGTCGCACTGGTTGATGTCGATGTTGGTTAGTTCGATGTCAATTGTCGCCACGCCTCTGAAGAAAGATGAAGGGGCGGTACAAGCATCTGGTTATCAGACGTTGATTATTTACATCATATCATGAAAATACATTATTATATTATCTCAGCCGACTCTCCAAACTCTTGAATTTTATAGGTCAATGACGTTTTGATGAATGTGAACAACTGAGAACACATACATTTTGCCGATCTCTGTAACCGCTGCAATGCAAGCTCCTTGCAGCGAAACGACGTAACGTCATGTGAGACTTAAGATGTACGTGATGCGCGGAGCCTAAAGATGTTAAAATTATTGTCCGGCAATATGGCGACAAACACAAGCGTAGCATCTCAATCTCCGTTCGGGGAACACGGACATACAGGGTCGTCTGAGATAGGGGAACACGGACATATAGGGTCGTCTGAGCTCGGGAAACACGGCCATACAGGGTCGTCTGAGCTCGGGGAACACGGTCATACAGGGTCGTCTGGACTTGGGGAACACGGTCATACAGGGTCGTCTGGACTTGGGGAACACGGTCATACAGGGTCGTCTGAGGTCGAGGAACACGGACATACAGGGTCGTCTGAGGTCGGGGAACACGGTCATACAGGGTAGTCTGAGGTCGAGGAACACGGACATACAGGGTCGTCTGAGGTCGGGGAACACAGACATACAGGGTCGTCTGAGGTCGGGGAACACGGTCATACACGGTCGTCTGGACTTGCGGAACACGGACATACAGGGTCGTCTGGACTTGGGGAACACGGTCATACAGGGTCGTCTTAGGTCGGGGAACACGGTCATACAGGGTCGTCTTAGGTCGGGGAACACGGTCATACAGGTTCGTCTGGACTTGGGGAACACGGTCATACAGGGTCGTCTTAGGTCCGGGAACACGGTCATACAGGGTCGTCTGGACTTGGGGAACACGGTCATACAGGGTCGTCTTAGGTCGGGGAACACGGTCATACACGGTCGTCTGGACTTGGGGAACACGGACATACAGGGTCGTCTGGACTTGGGGAACACGGTCATACAGGGTCGTCTTAGGTCGGGGAACACGGTCATACAGGGTCGTCTTAGGTCGGGGAACACGGTCATACAGGGTCGTCTTAGGTCGGGGAACACGGTCATACAGGTTCGTCTGGACTTGGGGAACACGGTCATACAGGGTCGTCTTAGGTCCGGGAACACGGTCATACAGGGTCGTCTGGACTTGGGGAACACGGTCATACAGGGTCGTCTTAGGTCGGGGAACACGGTCATACAGGGTCGTCTGGACTTGGGGAACACGGACATACAGGGTCGTCTGGACTTGGGGAACACGGTCATACAGGGTCGTCTTAGGTCGGGGAACACGGTCATACAGGGTCGTCTTAGGTCGGGGAACACGGTCATACAGGTTCGTCTGGACTTGGGGAACACGGTCATACAGGGTCGTCTTAGGTCCGGGAACACGGTCATACAGGGTCGTCTGGACTTGGGGAACACGGTCATACAGGGTCGTCTTAGGTCGGGGAACACGGTCATACACGGTCGTCTGGACTTTGGGAACACGGTCATACAGGTTCGTCTGGACTTGGGGAACACGGTCATACAGGGTCGTCTGGACTTGGGGAACACGGTCATACAGGTTCGTCTGGACTTGGGGAACACAGACATACAGGGTCGTCTTAGGTCGGGGAACACGGTCATACAGGTTCGTCTGGACTTGGGGAACACGGTCATACAGGGTCGTCTGGACTTTGGGAACACGGTCATACAGGTTCGTCTGAGATCGGGGAACACAGACATATAGGGTCGTCTTTGCTCGGGGAACACGGACATACAGGGTCGTCTGAACTCTGGAAACACAGACACACAGGGTCGCCTTGGCTCGGGGAACACAGACACACAGGGTCGTCTTGGCTCGGGAAACACGGACATACAGGGTCGTCTGAACTCTGGAAACACAGACACACAGGGTCGCCTTGGCTCGGGGAACACAGACATACAGGGTCGCCTTGTCTCGGGGAACACAGACACACAGGGTCGCCTTGTCTCGGGAAACAAGGACACACAGGGTTGTCTTGGCTCGGGAAACACAGACATACAGGGTCGTCTTGGCTCGGGAAACACGGACATACAGGGTCGTCTTGGCTCGGGAAACACAGACATACAGGGTCGTCTTGGCTCGGGAAACACGGACATACAGGGTCGTCTTGGCTCGGGAAACAAAGACATACAGGGTCGTCTTGGCTCGGGAAACACAGACATACAGGGTCGTCTTGGCTCGGGAAACAAGGACATACAGGGTCGTCTTGGCTCGGGAAACAAGGACATACAGGGTCGTCTTGGCTCGGGAAACCCAGACATACAGGGTCGTCTTGGCTCGGGAAACAAGGACATACAGGGTCGTCTTGGCTCGGGAAACACAGACATACAGGGTCGTCTTGGCTCGGGAAACAAGGACATACAGGGTCGTCTTGGCTCGGGGAACACGGACATACAGGGTCGTCTTGGCTCGGGGAACACGGACACTCAGGGTCGTCTTGTCTCGGGGAACACAGACACACGACCGGGTCACTGTAACCCCCGTTTAGTGTTGGTACTCACTTGAAGACTGTGGCGTTGTTAGAATCTACTGCTAATATCGGTGCGGAATATGTAACCATCCAAATATTGCCACCACCACAATCATAATATGGGTATGTCCAGCGCCCGTCTTCATACCTGGCAATAGGTTGGCGAATAGGCACATCTTTCCTGGAGGGGTCGGAGAAACTGGAAGTAAAATGGCAGCACTAGAAAAAATGCCATATGATCAATAAACTGTGGATAATTGAACGGTTTGTGAATAATGGTTCAAGAATGGAAGTATGGATAAAAGATTGACGGAGAGAGATCATTTGGATGATGTTGAGTGAGTAAGTGAGTGACAGACGTTTACCACTTCGGTGAAACCTACACGTACTGGTATGGTGCTGACAATGGAGGATAGATTGATGTGTAATAGATGGTTCAATGATGAAAAACGATAGATTATTATATGTAAGAGGGTTAAATAATAAAAAAAACGATGGATTGGTATATAACAGAAGGTTGAATGATGAAAAACGATGGATAAATATATGATAGAAGGTTGAATTATGGGAAACGATGGATTGATATATGAAAGATGGTTCAATGATGGAAAACGATTGGTTGATATATGGTTGAATGAGTGAGTGAGTGAGTGAGTTTGGTTTTACGCCGCTTTTAGCAATATTCCAGCACTATCATGGCGGGAGACACCAGAAATGAGTTTCACACATTGCATCAATGTCGGTAATCGAACCCGAGTCTTCAGCGTGACGAGCGAACGCTGTAACCCCCCCCCCCCCCCTTGATGGTTGAATGATTTAACGCGATAGCTTGATATATGTCAAATGGTTGAATAAATTAATATTGATGGTTGAATGATGGAGAACGATGGATTGATATACGACAGATGGTTGAATGATGGAGAACGATGGATTCATATACGATAGATGGTTGAATGATGGGAAGACAGGTGGACGATTGAAGTATGGTAACATAAATGAATGCAGGAATAATCTGGGAGGATACATGATGTAAAATGGTGGGGGGGGGGGGGACTGAAATACATGAAGATGCTAGGTCAATGATTGAGGAATAAACACTGGGTTGAGGAAGATCGACGAAGAAAGAAGAACTGTATCATCTATCTTTTAATCAACCACCAGCAAAACAAATTATCCTTTTTCATTTTGTTCATCCATCATCCATCCATCCATCCCATCATCCAGCCAGCCAGCCATCCCATCATCCATCCATCCATCCATCATCCATCCATCCACCATCCAGCCAGCCAGCCATCCCATCATCCATCCATCCAACTATCCATCCATCAACCCATCCAACCACCAATCATCCACCAATCCATGCTCCACCATCCACCCAACAATCACCCATCCATCCACCCACCCATCCATCCATCCACCCACCCATCATCCATCAATTCATTCTCCAACCTCCATCATCCATCAATCCACCCACCAATCATCCATCCATACATGGTCCACCATACATCACCCATCCATCCATCGATCCACCCACCCATCCATCCATTCTACACCACCCATCATCCATCCATCCATCATCCATCCATCCACCCATCCATCCATACATGCTCCACCATCCATCATCCATCTATCCACCCACCCATCCGTTCATGCTCCACCATCCATCATCCATACATCAATCCATTCTCCATCATCCATCCACCCACCCACCCATCATCCATCGACCCACCCATCATCCATCCACCCATCATCCATACATCCATCCACCAACCCATCATCCATCCATCCATCCATCATCCATGAATCCATGCTCCACCATCCACCCAACCATCATCCATTCATCCATCCACCCATCATCCATCCATCCATGCTCCATCATCCATCATCCATCCACCCATGCTCCACCACCCATCATCCATCCATCCATGCTCAACCACCCATCATCCATCCATCCATGCTCCACCACCCATCATCCACCCACCCATGCTCCACCACCCATCATCCATCCATCCATGCTCCACCACCCATCATCCATCCATCCATGCTCCACCACCCATCATCCATCCATCCATGCTCCACCACCCATCATCCATCCATCCATGTTCCACCACCCATCATCCATCCATCCATGCTCCACCACCCATCATCCATCCATCCATGCTCCACCACCCATCATCAATCCATCCATGCTCCACCACCCATCATCCATCCACCCATGCTCCACCATCCATGCTCCACCATCCATCCATGCTCCACCACCCATCATCCATCCATCCATCCATCCACCTATTCTCCACCCGCCATCATCCATCCATCCATCCATTCTCCACCCACCCATCAATCCACCCACCAATCATCCATCCATACATGGTCCACCATCCATCACCCATCCATCCATCCATCCATCGATCCACCCACCCATTCATCCATTCTACACCACCCATCATCCATCCATCCATCATCCATCCATACATGCTCCACCATCCATCATCCATCCATCCATCTATCCACCCACCCATCCATTCATGCTCCACCATCCATCATCCATACATCAATCCATTCTCCATCATCCATCCACCCACCCACCCATCATCCATCCATCCATTCTCCACCATCCATCATCCATCCATTCACCCACCCACCCACCCACCCACCCACCAATCCATCCATCCATGTCCTGTGAACTAAACACACAGAGGCACATTACCTTTTGATGAGCAAAGGAAGGATCAAAGAATTTATGAATATTACGCTGTACCATTTGGCCAATACGTAAATGGAATATTCTCTGTGTGAGCCATAGTGGTGATATCTGGTCATTTGTAGAAGGAATACAACCAGTTCTATGATCAAACGTACTTAAACCCAAATGTAAGTAAATGGCCCACCTGCAGTGTGGGACAGGACGTCCACCTGCTATTAGTGGCTAATTGGTCAACGTTGTTTTTTGCAGATCTACTTCAGTTTATCCTTGAATGTTTATGTTAAAGAACAAATACATCAGCGTCTGTCTGGGAAACAGAGACCACTAATGGACTGGAGAAATGGCTTCTTTCATCTCGCCGAGGACTTTTTCAGTACTGAGTTGAATACTGAATCTCGTGTTTTCATGACTTTTGTCTAATTGCAGCACGAAGCTTTCGGGGATCCATACTTAAGTCAACGCTGATGAAGCTCGCTACGGGGGTACCGACTTGCATCTCGGGTATGGGGTCGGTTGAGATAGTAGGTTTGTAATAGGGATTTTAGCTGCACGGCGTTCATAAAGGTTGTATCTTGGGAAAGTGAGCGGTTTCAGTAAAACGAAGTTTTGGCTAATTGTTTCAAATTCCAAAGGTTATAGAAAAACCAAGCATCACTCACTCACCAACCCATCCTCCCCACTTACTCACTCACTTACATTCAAATCACTCACTCACTCACTCACACTCAAATCACTCACACACTCAAATCACCCACTCACTCACTCACCCACACACTCACTCGCTCATTCAAATCATACACTCACTCGCTCACTCACCCACACACTCAAATCACTCAAATCAATCAATCAATCACTCAAATCACCCACTCACTCACCCACACACTCAAATCACTCACTCACTCAAATCACCCACTCACTCACTCACCCACACACTCACTCACTCTACTCAAATCACCCACACACTCAAATCACTCAAATCACTCACTCACAGACTGCAATGACCTACTTGAATGTGACGGTGTCGATTTGGACGGAAGCGTTGGAGAAATCTCTAACTCCGACCCCATGGTACCATTCCGTGCTGTCGGTGAGGTAGTTGTATTTGACGGCGATGTCGAAGGCAACGACAGAGTCCTGTTTCTTGTGAGCATATGGACAGTAGCGAGCATATTCATCATAAAGCCCCGGCTCAAGTGCAATGGCAGAGCCGAAGATGAGCGTGTCGCCGTGGACGTTGTTGCGTACAAAGGAGTAGAACATGGCGTCATCGAAGCGGTTCAGTGTATTATCATCCATCACAAGGACCTGCAAACAAATCAATGATTATATTTTTACTGCAAGCATCCTTAAATTAATTACAGATGGGTTTAAAAAACGTTCATCTGCACGAGAGACTTAGTACCTGCATCAATCGGACTTTCCTCTAACATTAGGGGCGGTCGGGTAGCCTAGTGGTTAAAGCGTTCGCTCGTCACGCCGAAGACCCGGGTTCGAATCCCGACATGGGTACAATGTGTGAAGCCCATTTCTGGTGTCCCCCGCCGTGATATTGCTGGAATATTGCTAAAAGCGGCGTAAAACCAAACTCACTCACTCACTCACTCCTCCAACATTAAGCTCACAGGCCGTGATATAGAATCTTCCCGAGGCAAGGAAGTTAACCGACTGTAAAGGTCTAGTTCCCATCCTTGCCGAACCAGATCGGAATTTCTGGGTTCTATCGTAGCGCCACCAGTGGCGATAACGAGTTATGTCCCTACTATGTCCCTCCTATTGACCAATCAGATTCCACCTCTGATAATACTTGCATTTGCTTCAAACAAATTGGCGACGCCGTGTGAAGACGATATGATTTATAATCAAGATGTATGTTTTAATAAAATGGGTCTTACTTCGCGAAGTGCATCAAATCACATGAGCACCTTGATTAAAAACATGAAAAGATTTGGAAAATATCTGTTGACGCTAAGTTGACGGTACACATGCTTTGCAAATCCTACAATCGACCGACATCTGCACCTCGGTTTACGCTCCGGATGTTGATTTCGTTACGCGAGTTGATTGGACTATGCATAGACTCTTGGCTTCTATGCATAGACTCTTGGCTTCTATGCATATACTCTTGGCTTCTATGCATATACCCTTGGCTTCTATGCATATACTCTTAGCTTCTATGCATATACCCTTGGCTTCTATGCATAGACTCTTGGCTTCTATGCATAAACTCTTGGCTTCTATGCATATACTCTTGGCTTCTATGCATATACTCTTGGCTTCTATGCATATACTCTTAGCTTCTATGCATATACCCTTGGCTTCTATGTATATACTCTTGACTTCTATGCATATAATCTTGGCTTCTATGCATATAATCTTGGCTTCTATGCATATACCCTTGGCTTCTATGCATATACCCTTGGCTTCTATGTATAGCTCTTGGCTTCTAGGCATAAACTCTTGGCTTCTATGCATATACCCTTGGCTTCTATGCATATACTCTTGGCTTCTATGCATATACCCTTGGCTTCTATGCATAAACTCTTGGCTTCTATGCATAAACTCTTGGCTTCTATGCATATACTCTTGGCTTCTATGCATATACTCTTGGCTTCTATGCTTCTATGCATATACTCTTGGCTTCTATGCATATACTCTTGGCTTCTATGCATATACTCTTGGCTTCTATGCATATACTCTTAGCTTCTATGCATATACCCTTGGCTTCTATGCATATACTCTTGACTTCTATGCATATAATCTTGGCTTCTATGCATATACCCTTGGCTTCTATGCATATACCCTTGGCTTCTATGTATAGCTCTTGGCTTCTAGGCATAAACTCTTGGCTTCTATGCATATACTCTTGGCTTCTATGCATATACTCTTGGCTTCTATGTATAGCTCTTGGCTTCTATGCATAAACTCTTGGCTTCTATGCATATACTCTTGGCTTCTATGCATATACTCTTGCCTTCTATGCATATACTCTTAGCTTTTATGCATATACCCTTGGCTTCTATGCATAGACTCTTGGCTTCTATGCATATACTCTTGACTTCTATGCATATACTCTTGGCTTCTATGCATATACTCTTGGCTTCTATGTATAGCTCTTGGCTTCTATGCATAAACTCTTGGCTTCTATGCATATACTCTTGACTTCTATGCATATACTCTTGGCTTCTATGCATGTACTCTTGGCTTCTATGCATATACACTTGGCTTCTATGCATAAACTCTTGGCTTCTATGCATAAACTCTTGGCTTCTATGCATATACTCTTGGCTTCTATGCATATACTCTTGGCTTCTATGCATATACTCTTAGCTTCTATGCATATACACTTGGCTTCTATGCATAAACTCTTGGCTTCTATGCATATACTCTTGGCTTCTATGCATATACTCTTGGCTTCTATGCATAAACTCTTGGCTTCTATGCATAGACTCTTGGCTTCTATCACGTGCCATTTTGTTAAGTGTAAAAGATCAAGATGATAAAAACAATAAGGAAACATTCCCACTTATGGACAATTCAGAGAGTAATGGCGGCAGTGGTCAAAAACACTTTTGGCGATAGAAGTAACGAGTAACAGTTATAAACAACAAACTTTCTAAGAAAATATAGTATATGATAAAAAATGTGACCTTCTTGGCTTCTTTGCATATACTCTTGGCTTCTATGCATATACTCTTGGCTTCTCAACCTTCCGTGTGAAATCAATAAGTTTTCCTGTTTGAGGATGCCATGTTTATAGATAGAGTGTGAATAAACGGACGAACAACAATATAAAAATCATAAAATATAATGCTCCTTGGAGTCGAAAAGTGCCCCTTTTTTACCTTGCTCAAGTAGTTGGCTGTCCTTATAGCGGGGTCGGTGTAGGTGATCCAGGCAGTGTGGTTAAACGCGAGGGTGAGCGTCTCCTCCGTCCCACCCCCACACTTGCTGGACTCCACCCTGCTGACATACTCTAGGGCCTGCTTCGCCTCTTGGAGTCGGTCTGGGGGAAAGACATATATACCCTCTTCATATACGTTGTCACAATGTTGAGAAATATTTACCCTCGTCAGATACATGGTCATATTGTGGAAAAATATATACCTCGTCATATACGTGATCACAATGTGGAAAAATATATACCTCGTCATAAACGTGATCACAATGTGGAGAAATATATACCCTCGTCATATACGTGGTCGCAAGGTGGAGAAATATATACCCTCGTCATATACGTGGTCACAATGTGGAGAAATATATACCCTCGTCATGTACGTGGTCGCAATGTGGAGAAATATATACCTCGTCATATACGTGGTCGCAATGTGGAGAAATATATACCTCGTCATATACGTGGTCGCAATGTGGAGAAATATATACCTCGTCATATACGTGGTCGCAATGTGGAGAAATATATACCTCGTCATATACGTGGTCGCAATGTGGAAAAGTATATACCCGGGTCATACAGGTGGTCGCAATGTGGAAAAATATATACCACGTCATATACGTGGTCGCAATGTGGAAAAATATATATCTCGTCATGTACGTGGTCGCAATGTGGAAAAATATATACCTCGTCATATACGTGGTCGCAACTGGGAGAAATATATACCCTGGTCATAGACGTGGTCGCAATGTGGAGAAATATATACCCTCTTCATATACGTCGTCGCAACATGGAGAAATATATACCCGGGGATACAGGTGGTCGCAATGTGGAGAAATATATACCCTCGCCATATAGATGGTCACAATGTTGAGAAACTAGCTTCAATTTCATAATATTATATTTACTTTCCATCTTTTTCATATCTGTTACAAAGCTTTCTCCAACATTTCGATGTGGTAATGATTTCCACGGTAAATATCACAACAGAGGCGTATTTCTCAACCTTGAAGGGATGTATTACAGCATATACGGGCGTACCGCCGTGTTGTCAAACATATTATTGATGCCGTGATATAATCTCAAGCAGTAGTTTGTATTCCCAATTTGGGTCTCAAGACTGGCGTTTCCCATGCTAAAATGGCATACTGAATAGAAATGTCATTCCCCAGAAGCGTAACCAGGCAACATCGACCCCGTACAACTATAGAATAGCATAAATAATAGCGACAAAACCCTTTCTTTTCTTATGAGGAATCTCTACTTAAAGCAAAGTCGAATGTTCGATTGTTCGATTCCGACTATATCATGAGCATGTGTTTATGAATCCCTATCAAAGAGTGATGATGCCACGAAAAGATGAGCGTAACCTGCCCAAGCAGTGGCAACATCATAAACACGTGCAAAGGCAGGTCAAGTGTTCACCTGGGAAGAAAAAACACGGAAATGTATGGCTCAAGTCAAAATAGAGAATTGCGTCGGACATTTTTGTCACTGATGCGTCAACATCGTAGATACAAGGGCTATGTAACTCTTGGAAACATTTCCCCATGATTCAGCAGAGTTTTAACTGTAGTTATATTTTTTGGTTAAAATTGGTTAAGGTTTTGTTTCTAGTTACTTATTTTATATTTGCGATGGCATGCAACGGAGAACACGCAACTACAGTAAACTACGGTTATAACGAACTCAAAGGGACTACTATTTTTAGTCCGTTATAACCGTCGTTCGTTATAAGCATATATACAGCATAACAACAGCAAATAGTCGGGACTAAAAAGTCAGTTCGTTATATCCGTCAGTTCGTTATAAGCGTGTTCGTTATAACCGTAGTTTACTGTATATTTCTCAGCTCAGGTGAGCTAAATTGGTTTACCTCGCGACGTTAACCTTCATATTGTCTGTTTGAAGTCACTGAAGATCAATATTTAGCTTTGATGTCGCGGTGAATGTAATAACACCATCATACCACACTGCGTTTACTTATGGTGAATTAATTTTCAGTGATATGTTCCTACACACTGCAATCAACATGTATCTTCTTTAAACTGAATGTCCCGGTGTACATGACGCGAACTCAATACGGTGATTGTGCATTGTAGCTTGTGAGGTGAGGTGAAACGTTAAGAGTTAAACGTCGCGTCAAAGATTATTGATGTAGCGCCGTACATGCACGTGTGTGTGTGTGTGGCTGCTTGTACTAGTCCGGACTTATGCCGATTTATAGTGCTAGCCCACTGATATACCATGCCGCAGTTTAACATGAATACCCCACTCAGACACAGTATACTGACTCCGAGCCGACCAGTCCTTGTTTTAGCCCCTTAATGCCAAGCGCCAGACAGGGTAACAACAAGAACCATCTTTTAACGTCTTTTGGCGGACGCTCTACCGCTGGACCACGGAGACGGTCCATTGTAGTTTGTTATGGCAGTGATGGGTTAGTTTGCAAATAAAAAGGTTTGCTTTCAGCAATATTCCAGCAATATCACGGCGGGGGACACCAGAAATGGGCTGATTGTTGAGTAGATGATCGAGCGTGGTGTGTTAACGTGAATATTGTCTTACCGTACCGCGTTGTTATTTGCGCTCCTTTGTATGGAAACTATCTTGAAATAGTACTATAGACAGTTCATCAATCTTATTCCTATTTTGTATGGGAATAGATATCGTTCAAACAGTGTGGAATAAGAGTTGGTGAGAATCGTGTGGATCATTTTAACCATGTTGCTTAATATATTTTAACGTTGCTTCTATGATTGTGTGGTGTCCCCCGCTGTAATATTGCTGGAATATTCCTAAAAGCGGCGTAAAACCATACTCACTCATTTCATGGTTTTGTTTATACTCAACGATTCAACTCCCTGAAGACACGTGACATTACGTTCTGATTGATAGGGGGCACGGGTGGCCCAGTCGTCTAAGGCGCCGCGATTCGCTGTGCAGAGTTGCGTTCTTTGGGCACGCCAGAAACCTATGATTATGGGTTCGAATCCCGGTTCGCCCCGATTATATTTATAGGTTTGTCAGCACCACACCCGTGCTCGTGAGTTTCACCGAAGTGGTAAACGTCTGAGACCTGCATCACTTCGGGCTTTCCTCCCACAGTAAGCTGACACGCCGTGATATAACTGGAATACGGTTAAAAGCGGCGTTTAACCCAACTCACTCACTCTGATTGACAAGCGTTTTGTTTCCGCTTATTATTCTACAGTCCAAGTCAACCAGGAGACAACTAAAAGCAAATAACCGGCTGTGATTTTCACCTATGTAAACAGTTGGCCTTACATAGCCGATATCAAAAGATATCACATTTGTATGCTTCCCCTTGTATCCGGGGCACGGGTGGCCCAGTCGTCTAAGGCGCCGCGATTCGCTGTGCAGAGTTGCGTCCCTTGGGCACGCCAGAAACCTATGATTGTGGGTTCGAATCCCGGTTCGCCCCGATTATGTTTCTAGGTTTATCAGCACCATACCCGTGCTCGTGGGTTTCACCGAAGTGGTAAACGTCTGAGACCTACATCACTTGGGGCTTTCCTCCCACATTAAGCTGACACGCCGTGATATAACTGGAATACGGTTAAAAGCGGCGTTTAACCCAACTCACTGACTCCGATTGACAAGCGTTTTGTTTCCGCTTATTATTCTACAGTCCAAGTCAACCAAGAGACAACTAAAAGCAAATAACCGGCTGTGATTTTCACCTATGTAAACAGTTGGCCTTACATTGACGATATCAAAAGATATCACATTTGTATGCTTCCCCCTGTATCCACATATTAAATCCCTTGTACTGACTACCAGATCACGTCGAGTTGAAGGTGCGGATTACAAAGGGAATCCAAAAACCAAACAAAATGTCAGTTCGAATGATTCCACCTGGTTTAAATCTGTCCAACAAGAAACGACAGTACAAGTAAGCTGTTGAATATAATTTAGAAAGAAACACTAGTTTAAAGGATGCATTTGGATGGTGGGTGTTGGGTGAGTTTGGGGTGTATTTGAGATGTGGGTAAGGGTATATGGGATGTGTGTGAGTGAGGGTATGTTGTGTGTGGATGAGGGTATTTTGGTGTGGGTGAGGGTATATTGAATGTGGATGAGGGTAGGTTGGATGTGGGTGAGGGTATATGGGATGTGGGTGGGTGAGAGTATATAGGATGTGGGTGAGGATATTTTTGATGTGTGTGTGCGTGTGTGTGTGGGGGGTGTGTGTGTGTGTGTGAGAGGGGGGTATATTGCATGTGGGTGAGGGTAGTTTGGATATGGGTGAGGGCATATGGGATGTGGGTGAGGGTATATGGGATGTGGGTGAGGGTATATTGCATGTGGGTGAGGGTAGTTTGGATATGGGTGAGGGCATATGGGATGTGGGTGAGGGTATTTTGGATGTGGGTGAGGGTATTTGTGATGTTGGTGGGTGAGGGTATATTGAATGTGGGTGGGGGTATTTTGGATGTGGGTGGGTGGGGTATACTGAATGTTGGTGAGATATTTTGGATGTGTGTAAAGGTATTTGTGATGTGGGTGGGTGAGGGTATATGGGATGTGGGTGGGGGTATACTGAATGTGGGTGAGGTATTTTGGATGTGTGTGAGGGTATTTGTGATGTGGGTGGGTGAGGGTATATGGGATGTGGGTGGGGGTATATGGGATGTGGGTGGGGGTATATTGAATGTGGGTGAGGGTATTTGGGATGTGGGTTGGGGTATATTGAATGTGGGTGTAGGCTATTTTGGATGGATGTTTGATGTATTAGGTTGGTAATATCTGCAAAGAGGGTTCTAAATAACGACATTAATGAATATGAATATTATATTCTGGCAACGAAACCACGGACATGAAATACGGGTAGTTCAACGGAAAAGCTCCCATTGTCCCGTTAGAGTAATAGCTTCGCCATTAATATTAACTGACAGGCTTACACTAACTACACGAGACAAAAGGACGTGTGCGGGCATTCGTCACCACTCGCCCATTTCCGTAACTGGGTTCGAATCCCGGTTCGACCCGATTATGTTTCTAGGTTTTTCAGCACCATAACCGTGCTCGTGGGTTTCACCGAAGTGGTAAACATCTGAGACCTGCATCACTTCGGGTTTTCCTCCCACATT